TAATTTAAATCAATTCATGAATTCAATCAATAAAATTACTATATAACTTCCATAAACCCTTATTTTAATGAAGAAAAACATAATTTTTTTGTTTTGTTTCTTCATTCATAAGAAAACTTCTTTTCATATACATATAATCCTCTTTCAAAGCACATTCAGTCGTTGTGAATAAGAAGTACCCTTAAATCGAAATGCTTAAATGAAAATGTAAAGAAAGAAAGAAAGAAGAAGAATACACACCCACATACATACACATACATTTATATATTCCAGACAAATAATGAATAGTTTAATTGGTCTAATGAATTCAATATGTATTAGTTACTAGACTTCATTTTTCTTTTCTTTTTTTTCTTTTTTTGTTTTTTGTTTTGGATCCATGAATAAAAGATTGATTATTCATTTTGAGAAGAAAGTAGGGTTTAGAATAGTTTTGTTTGTCAAGATTTTAGTTAGATGGTAAAAAAAGTACTTGATGTAATAAGTATGAAATGTAGTATATTCAATGAATATTTGAACTAAGAAACTATTAGTGTGATAAATCTATTGAAGAAAGATTATAGAACTATTAGATATCATGCATTATGTATGATAATTATTGATGTGTCTCTCAATTTCATGGCTTAGTTGAAGTTAGACATCGATACCGTTGGATACTGGCCAGTCCAATGGTCTAGTGGTTAAGTGTTTGCTCGCGAGACTGATGAGTTTTGAGTTGGAACCTTGTGAGGCAGGATCGTGGATGCGTACTGCTGAGACGTCTATCAATAGGACGAAACGGTCGTCCAGCGTTTCCAGGTTTTCCATGGAGGTCTATCTTCAATTGACTCATGATCTCAACTATTAATATTACTATAATATCCACAAAATCATTTCTGATACAACTATTTTTGTTTAGTTGCGAAATATTCAGATGATCTTGTAGCGAACGAGAACACAAGTGGGACGATCGTATGTATTTAAATACAAAATTACAGAAAATCTCAGTGAAATTTGATAAAAGATTTCTATGTAATTACTTTCATACTGAATAGTCAGTTCAGTGTAACGTTATAAGTTATATATTTAAAGGACACAGGTGATGAAGTCAGTCAAATCTAGAGATGAGCGTTTGGATTTTTCTTATGGACATAAATAGATTTATATTTTTGTAAGCATGAATGGCTCACAAATATACCAGATGAAATATAAAAGACATCTGAATGAACAAAGTTTGATGATATAATTAACGATAAAATGAATGCGGTATAAACTGTATATCCTGCCTAGTTTATTCAAACAACTGACAGAAAACAATAATGAGGTGGCGTGAGCGATGAGATCAATGCACGTATATTGAAAGCCAGAGCGGCTTATACCAATCTGGGCCACCTTTGGCACCTTCGTGATGTTAGTCTGTCTGTGAGAGGTCGGATCTACAACGCGTCGGTGAAAGCAGTTTTGCTCTATGCTTATGAAACCTGGCCTTTCCGAGTTGAAGATGTTAGACGACTCGCTGTGTTCAATCATCACTGTCTCCGAAGGATTGCTGACATCCAGTAGCAACACTATGTTAGTAATGGACAGGTTCGGCATCGTGTGTTCGGGTCCAGAGACGACAATTCAATTGGTGTCACCATCTCGAAACGCTGACTTCGGTGGTATGGACATGTTCTACGAATGTCATCTCAGAGAATTCCGCGTCGTGAATTATCTGTCGACGCTGAGACTGGTTGGAAAAAGCGGAAAGGTGGTCAGTGTATGACATGTTGTCGTGGTATGAAAGAAAGCTGCAATGGGCTGGCTTGTGTTGGTCCTTCACGACTCCCTGGCTGGGGTCCGAGAGATGGTGCAACACAGTGGCTAGAGACGTTATCAAATATGGCCCAGAATAGAAGCCAGTGGCGATCCTGCTGTAACCTTCTTTTACTTTCTTCATAAAAAGTGGTTGCTTCTTCCTTAACTAAAAGATTTCTTCTGATTGTACCTTTTCGTCACGCCCACTATTATATTATTATTACGTTATCTTACCTTATTCTGTTCGTTATTGCTCTTTTTTTAACGCTGCTTACCTTTTTTCCTTCTCCTCTTCAAATTCCCATTGTTTTGTGAGGCGCATATTTATTCGGTGCCCTCTTGTACCAATATTTATGTGTTCAAATAAATAAATAAATAAACATCAATGACTATTTATGGATATAAATGGTCATCTATTGAATGGCAACAATGACATAGTTATGAGTTTTTTAACTCAAGTTTCAACTTGATAGCATACATATACATGAGAAAGTTGTATCATAATGTGCACCACTATTTAATGATTAAAAGGGTGTTGTATTGATTGGTAGTCATGAGAAAAGTTCAGATTAAATTATGATTATTTTCAAGGATCTATAAGATCCTTGAATAATCTGTGCATCTTGTTTAAGATAATACTCAGTATCATGATATAGTGATAAATCTTAACACTATTAATAAACTCAGTTTCACTATTTTTGTCCTCTGGGATTAATTCATACTTCAGCAAGTATCAAGCTCTTGATTTTGATCCAAAGTGGTAAGGTCATGAACACTTACTACTAGGAATAAGGATCTAAGTTCTTCTAACTCAAATCATCTAACTCGAATCATTTCATGAGTTTGATAAACTTCAACAATCTTCACTATACCCTATTGATAATTCCATTTTAAGTAAGAGTAAATTTTCAATGTGATTATGATATTACATAACTGATCAATTAACTGAATTTACAAAATATTAAAATCATATGATCCAAGTTCATTTTATAAACTGTTTCAGCTAAACTATTATATTTTGATGGAGTTTTGTTCTCTGAGCCGGATGATTTTGTCGTGAAGCTTTCATCGTTCTCCTAAACGACATCATCAGCATAAACTTCATATAGAAGTCAAAACTCCATCAAAATCATTCACAAATCTTGTCCACCATCTCAAAATTATTAAATTCCTTGATTCAATTGATTTCTGAAGTGAAATCTTAATTACACTGCAAATATTTTATTTACAATAAACCTATATTTAGCATATTTAATTATATACTACTTAAAATATTCCAAATATTAATTTGTTTATTTAATTTAATACATTTATTCATTATATTAAATCTACTTCGAGTTATTCAATGTAATTATAATGAACAATCAATGCTTAAAAGCTAACTTCATAACAGACGTAGTATATACATTAGGTTTCTTACAATTGAAGAATATATGGAAGTCAAAACAACTATCTAACAACTAATATCAAAGTCAAAATCTTCAATACAAACGTCAAGACAGTTCGACTGTAAGGAGCTGAAATGTGGAGAACCACTACACTCATCATCAAACATGTACAAATATTTATAAATAATTGTCTATGCAAAATATTCAACCTCCATTGGCCGGATACCATCAGTAATAGTCTTCTGTGGGAAAGAACAAACCAGCTCCAACATTAGGAGGAAATTAGGAAAAGACTATAGAAATGGATAAGTCATACATTTCAGAAATCACCAAACTACATCACGAGACAAGCGTTAACTTGGAATGCTGAAGGGAAACGGAAAAGTGGAAGGCTGAAGAACACATTACGTCGGGAAATAGAATCAGATATGCAAAGGATGAATAACAACTGGAAAGAACTGGGAAGGATAGAGTTGAGTGGAAAGTGTTGGTAGGCGGCCTACGCTCCTCTACGACGAGTAACAGGCGTAAAGGAAGTAAGTAATTAAGTATTAAACATTTGATTATCTTTCAAGTTCAGTAATCACTATTATCAACTATTAGAGAGACAGTTATCAGTTTTTCTCCAGTTTTCATTTAATGATATACATGTTATTTTTTTGTCACTAAAACTAACAACTTCAGTTCCACTTCTACGTTTATCCTGATTTACAGGAAAATAGAGCATGGCAGTCAAATAGAGCTGGTGTCTGTTTTTTTTTAAGAATTAAATTTTGTTTATCAAAACTCGGAACAATCAGACAGAATTTATTATTCGAAATAAAATTTAAATGATAAAGTGTAAATTATAACGTCTAATCAAAGCACTTGATGCTATTTGGATTTGAACTAATCAGATTAGAAAGATGCACCGTTTACAGCCAATTAACAAATTTAATAGTTGAGATCATGAGTCAATTGAAGCCTGACCATCATGGAAAACCTAGAAGCATTGGATGGTCGTTTGACCCTATTGTGAGACTCCTCAACAGTGCACATCCACCATCCCGCCTTGCAAGATTCGGACCCAGGACCTATCAGTTTCGCGAGCAAACACTTAACCTCTAGACCATTGAGTTGGCCGGCATCCAACGGTATAGAAGTCTGACTATAACCACTCCATGAAACTGAACAACACATCCACCATTGTCCTCAGCGAGTTACTATCTCACAACAGACCTAGTTGAACTCCAATGGTCACGGCTTCTCATGAAAACTCCATGAAGTACCACTTGCAGACCATTATTAGCGAGCATTGAATGATTATAATCAGAAAAGGATTTTGTGAATATTATAGTAATTTAATAGTTGAATTCACGGGTCAATTAAAGCTAGACCACCATGTAAAACCTAGAAACTGGCTTAGCGGTTTAGTGGTTAAGCGCTCGCATGCGAGACTGATAGGTCCTGGGTTCGAACCTCTCGAGGCAAGATCGTGGATGCGCACTGCTGAGAAGTCTCCCAATAGAACGAAACGGTCTTCCAGTGTTTCCAGGTTTTCCATGGTAGTCTAGCTTCAATTGACTCATGAATTCAACTCTTACAATTACTATAATATTCACAAAATCCATTTCCAATTAACAAATTATTACAGGTGAAAAAATGTTTATTCATTATCACTTGAGCACACACTGTTCAAAACAAGTTCACCAATCACTAATTCCTACGATTTTTTGTTAATCACACACCCTAAAATTTTCTCATCAATCGGTGATAGGGAATCATAATCACCATGCCATTAATGTTAACCTTATTTTACAAGGAGAAACTTAAAAAAAGAACATCAGAAGACATAAGTTTTCATAAAATAATTTTTTTTCTCTTCATTCAATTACATGAAACATTGACGAAATCATGAAAAGAAAAGAAAAGATTCGGCATTCAACTAAGTAAGTTGAAATATTATTTGATTATGTAATATAACCATAGTGTAGTCTGTAATCTGATGTAATAGTGTATCAATGTCTGAAAGAATAATTTTCTTTTTGGGTGGCAGTGGGGAGGGGGGTCATTCACTGTTCCATGTTTTATTCTAATCACTTCATATTTTGATATTTACATTGTATCATTTTATAAGTGTTTCCTATTGATTGATTAATATGATAATGATCATTTAAAGATCATAATAGTTTTATATCTTCCATATTGATTAAGTGACTGTATCGAATAAACTTAAATTTGCTATAAAATCAGGATCCTAGAAAAATAAAAAAAAAATTTTTTTTCAAAACAAACACAAACTACAAACTTACTTGTGTAGAAACACTAAAAAATTCATCTTTTGATATTTTACCATCATGATCAAGATCATATTTCTGTAAAAACAAAAAAAATGTAAAGAATATGATAGTTGTTATGGAAACAAAATCATTCAATATCATATATCTCTTCATGTACTTAGTTACTACTCAACTGTCATAAACAGAGTTAAAGTAATATGATTGTTTAGAAAACTAAGTAGTTATATATTGTAATTTATTGGTTTGTATCAAATCGCTTAACCCTTACAATGTAAACTTTCTGAGATTTACTGCTCTTCGAAGATTTATTGTTATCTCTTCCTATGCAATTTATCGGATATAACACTTAGGTATGGTTCTTAATATAGTAAAATTTTATTTTTAATTGTGATTTAAGCTAGATCACCATGAAAAAACCTAAAAGCACTGAACGATCGGTTTATTCTAGTATAGGACTTTTCAGGAGTGAGTACACGAAAAGATGAAGGTCCTGGGTTCGAATCCCGCGAGTGGGATTGTGGATGCACACTGCTGAAGAGTCCTACAATGGGACGAAACAACCGTCTGGTATTTCCAGGCTTTAAATGGTGGTCTAACATCAATCGGTTCATGGTCTCAATCAATAACTTAATAATCTCTACAACTCTATACTGATAATTTGTTAATTATGTTGATGGATTTCAGATATTTATTTAAATTGATGAACTTTTTTTAAATTTTCTGTCATATAAATTTGGTGCGTTTCCAATAGCGATAAGGTATTTAAAATATTACAACTTTTGTTTAGCATAAACATTATAACTAGTACTTGAAAGTTTAAATCCACTTAGTTTTGTTTACTTGTATCTTCCTATTGTTGTTTCAATCTGCAATTGGTCAGTGTCTTGTTGGCATATAAGCATCTTGAGTGGTCTGTTTCAATATTACCTTATATCACAAGCTTTATCCAAACTCGGTAAGTAATTGGATAACGTGAAATGAACAGTATTGGGTTCGAGTCCCAAAGTGAACTTCCATTCAAAGATGCAAATATATTCAGCTGACAAGTCCCGAATAAGATGAAACGTGCACTCTGTATTCCACTACTAACCACTATTCATCATTGTTTATAAAACTTGAACGTTTGTTAATCTCCACACTGATTAACTAAATATTATAAAGTAGTATAACATCTGGTATCTTGTTTAAATACATTGTTTTATTTCATAAAATGTTCCTGTATATTCTATTCTATATTTTTATTTATTTTATCAGATCAGAAAATAAACTTTCCCATTGTTTAAAAAATATCATCAGAAGGGGTTTTGTGGAGATCTCAGAAATTTCACTGGTTGAAATCATGAATCAATTGAAGCTAGACCTCCATGAAATGCTGCTTGAAGTCAGTCGCTAGCGAGCAGATGATTATTATCAGAAGGGGTTTGTGGAGATTTTAGTAATTTCAATAGTTGTGAAATATCAGCTCACTGAAGACAATGGTGTACGGTGGCGCAACTGTGTGGGTTGGTTGAAGCTAGACATTTACGCCGTTGGATGCCGGCTCAGTGGTCTAGTGGTTAAGTGCTCACGAGAGAAGCCAGTAGATCCTGGATTCGAATCTCTCAGGAGGCGAGGTCAAGCATGCGCACTGTGGAGGAGTCTCATACTAGGACGAAACGGCTATTCAGTGCCTCCAAGTCTTCCATGGAGGTCTAGGTTCAATTGAATCATGATTTCAACATCAGTTAATCAGTAGTTTTTCTCCTCCGAAACACAGCCTACAATGTTTTTAAAACTCTCTGAATTTCCCAAATCAATTTTCATTTAAAATCTTAGTTTATCCCGAATGTTAATTGTTTCGTTTAGAATTTAAAACTGTTGTCTTTATAAAGAATTAATGTATTTACTAGTTGAATTCATGAGTCAATTATAGCTAGACCATCAAAAAAATATGGAAGCATTGGATGACCGTCTCATCTTAGTGTAAGACTCGTCAGCATTGCGCGTCCATGAAACCGCGTCGCGAGATTTGAACCTAAGACCTATAGATCTCGCACGCGAGCGCTTAACTTCTAGACTACTGAGTTGGTTGGCATCCAACGGTGTTAATGTACAACTTCAACCAATCGATGAAATTGAGCAACTGTCGCGAGACCGATAGGTCTGAGATTTGAATCTCACGGGGCGGGATTGTGGATACGCACTGCTGAGGAGTCCAGTACTAGGATAAAAAGGCCGTCCAGTGCTTCCAAGTTTTTCATACTAGTCTAGCTTTAACTGACTCATGATTTCAACTGTTAAATTATTACAATCTCCACAAAACCCCTCTCTAATTCATTAATTTTTTTATGGAACTAATAAAAATAATTTCCCTGATTAACTCAAACCAATAACTTAATATAATAGCCAATTGTTTCAGTACTAGCTTCGGTTCTTGAAGAAAAGATAGATGTGTACAGGCATTTTTATATTTGAATAAAGAACAGTTGTCCAGTATTGCTTTATTTACATACATTCAATGTCTTTCTATCTAAAAACAAGATATAGATTACATAAAGAAATCAGTACTTTGTTTGATATACTTCTTTTAATTAAAGAATTATTAACTTACATTAAACATTGTATTGACTCTATCTTCAATAGCTTGTACAATGTTACCAGTGAGTAGTTTATCACCAAGTAAATCATAAATAGCTTGTATAACTTCTTTCAATTCTGATCTACTTATATAACCATCTCCATTAATATCATATAAACTAAATATCCATTTAATTTTATCTAAATTTGAACCTTTTGCTAATTGTGATAGACCACAGGCAAATTGCTGGATATATAAAGTTGAATAGAATAAAAAGAAAAGTCTATAATCAGTTATTTATATATATAAACTAATAACAAACAAGACTTGATAAAAATCTATAATAAATATTAGTTATCAATTTAAGGGTTGTGGAGATTGTTAAGTTTTTGATTGAGATCATGAACCGATTGATGTTAGACCACCATTGAAGACCTGTAAGCACTGGACGGTCGTTTCGTCCTACTATGGGACTCCTCAGCAGTGTACGTCTACGATCCCACTCGCGGGATTCGAACCCATGACCTTCAGTCTCACGCGCGAACGCTCAACCTACTGAACCACTGGTGTTAATGTCTAACCTCAACCAATCCACGAAGTTGCGCGACCATCTTCTATTGTACTGAGGTAGATACCTGTTTCTACCCGACACGGATTAGCTCCACTGGTCACGGCTTCTCACCAGAACTCCGAAAATTTTCTAACCGTTGGATGCCGGCTCAGTGGTCCAGTAGGTTAAGCGTTTGCACGCGTGACTGAAGGCCCTGGGTTCGAATCACACGAGCGGGATCGTGGGTGCTCACTGCTGGGGAGTCTCACGGTAGGACGAAACGACCGTCCAGTGCTTCAGGTTTTCAATGATGATCTAACACTAATCCGCTCATGATCCCAAATAAATATTAGTGTTAAAATTAAATTATCAACATTAATCGAATTCAACTGTAAATAACCATGATAATGTCATAATAGTTAATATAGGTAATTGTAAAATTTGTTTCATTTTATCTAAATTACTTTGTTTTTAAACATATTTAAAGGTAGAATGTATAGAAAGCAAGGACCGCATTACTACAGTTGACGAACATATGGAAGTCAAAACAATTGTCTGTCAACCAATATCAAAGTCACAATCTTCAATACAAATGTCAAGACAGTTCGACTGCAAGGAGCTGAAATGTGGAGAACTACTACAACTATCATCAAACATGTACAAGTATTTATAAACAGTTGTCTACACAAGATAATCAATATCCGTTGACCGGATACCATCAGCAACAACCTACTGTGGGAGAGAACAAACCAACTTCCAATTGAAGAAGATATTAGGAAAAGACGATGGAGTTGAATGAGACATACAATACGGAAATCACCAAACTTCATCGCGAGCCGAGCCCTAACTTGAAATCATGAAGAAAAATGGAAAAGTGGAAGGCCAAATTACACATAGTGTCGGTAATCGGAATCAAACATGAAAAGGATGAATAGCAACTGAAAACAAGTGGAAAGAATTGTTCAGGACAGGTTTGGATGGAGAATGCTGGTGGTTGGCCCATGCTCCTCGACGAGGAGTAACAGGCGTAAGTAATTAATATCTAATATAAGGCTAAATTTTCAAGACTAGTGATCAATCTAACTGACATAATACAAACAGTATCTAATACTAAACAAATATAAACATTATTATGCAATAATCATTCAGTTTTTAACAGTTGTCTACGCAAAATACTTCGAATCCACTGGCCAGACACTATTAGCAACAACCTACTGTGTGAGAGAACGTACCAGATCCCAGCGGAGGAAGGAATCAGGAAGAAGCGCTGGAAGTGGATAGAACACATATTGAGGAAAGCACCCAACTGCGTCACAAGGCAAGCCTTCACTTGGAATCCTCAAGGCCAAAGAAAAAGAGGAGGACCAAAGAACATATTACGTCGAGAAATGGAGATAGACATGAGAGGAATGAAGAAAAATTTGACAAATCTGGAAAGGAAGGCCCACGACAGAGTGGGTTGGAGAATGCTAGTTGGCGGCCTATGCTCCATTTGGAGTAACAAGCGTAAGTAAGTAAGTAATCATTCAGTTTTAAAATAATGGATATAATTTAGAAATAATAAATACTGAAATAGCTATTATTATTATCACTATTACTATTATTATTATTATTAAAGGCTTTATTCAATATTATATTTTTAGTACAATATAGAATTCTCAACACAAAGTATCTCAGCAAGTTTCCTTTTCTTATTTCTTCATCGATCCTGATGATAAATATTTAATGATCACCAGGTAGATGTTAGCAGTTCAGGGATCGACATCTGGATAATATCCATTCTTTTCAATGAATATTACCAGCCATCACGATATCTCTGCTAGTAATGTTTTGTCAGGGATGTCCTACCGGGTTGGCGGATACGGAGGATCCACTTAGGGAAATTAGAAAACACTGATTTCAAACCGATGGTGCACGTGGGATCCAGGATCCTGAGGGAACAAGTGGAGTATGAACCAACTGTAGGTCACTGGTTACCATGAAACTACATCACCTTACGTTGCTACACTGCTTTGTGGATTAGATCTTTAGGTAAATGCTTGGGGTGTGACCCCTTAAGAAAACCACCTGCTTCTGTCTGGACACCCGGACAGTGTCACAGCTTATACACAATTCAAGTGAATTGTATAGCGCATATGTATTCAGTGCTCATTTGTACCAATATTTATGTGTTAAAATCAATAAATAAATAAATAATTTTTGGTAACCTGTACAGCGAAAGGTTCTAACCGAATTCGTAAACGCGCCTGAATAGGTTATGCGATGAACAGACATAAAAATGCGTTAAAACAAACAAAAACCACAGATAACTTGCTGAAATATATAAATGCCAGAAACATGTAGCCCAGTTATTCAAGCAGAATATCAATAATCATTATTGACTATACTTTAGTTATTCTTTTGGAAATTTCCATATAATATATCCATTTATATCTAAACTTGATAAGGTTACTTCATGTCATAAACAGGAAAACATTTTGATGGAGTTCTGTTCTCTGAGCTGGATGGTTTGGTCGTGGAGCTTTCATCGTTCTTCTGAACGACATCATCAGCACAAACTTCTATCTGAATTTCAGAAGAACAATGAAAGCTGCACGACCAAACCATCCAGCTGAGAGAACAAAACTCCATCAAAATCATCCTTCTCCGCCATCTCACAGGAAGACATTAAATTACAAATAAAATATACATAACAAATTGGATTTATTTAATCATATCTAATTTACTTTAAGTATTGCTAAGCAGTTCTTCGGTAAACTAATTATATAAGATTTAATTAAGAAAATAAATATTTATTTACATAGTAACAAATTTACTAATAATCACTTCGATACCAACTAGTTACTGATTTATAAAAAATCAAGGTGATTTACTTATCATCTAACTTAGTATTTCATACCATTCATTATTTACTTCGTTATGATTCAATTTTCTTTTTTCTTTATGAACTATAAGATATGAAATTGAATGTTAGAAAAAAATGTTCAAACGTGATCAATTCATTAGATGCATATTGTTAAAATCACGTATACATTCTTGTTTTACTTTACTAGCTTTTCTTGAATGTTAACAAATCACTTACTTACTTACATACTCCAAATGGAACATAGGCTACCGACCAACATTCTCCAACTCAATCTGTCCTGGACCTCCCTTTCTAGTTCTATCCAATTATTGTTCATTTTTCCCATGTACGTCTCCATTTCTTGACGTAATGTGTTCTTTGATCTTCCTCTTCTTCTTTGAGCTTGCCTTGCGACGCAGTTGAGTGCTCTGCTCAATGTGTGTACTATCCACTTCCAGCGTTTCTTCCTCATTTCTTCCTCCATGGCAATCTGGTTTGTTCTCTCACACAGTAGGTTATCAGTGTCTAATATTGTCTGGCCAACGGATCCGAAGTATTTTACGTAGGCAACTTTTAATTAACACTTGTATCTTTTAGATGATGACTTTCGTAATTCTCCGAATTGGCGCCCCATACAGTAGAACTGTGTTGATATTTGTATTGAAATTTCAGACTTTGGTGTTGATTGACTGACAGTTGTTTTGAGTTCCAAATGTTCTTCACTTGTGGATATGTTCCTCTTGCTTTGTTAATCCGCGTCTTCACATCTGCATCAGATCCACCGTGTTCATCAATGATATTAACAAATTAATGTCTGCTAATTGTAAAAGGTTTTGATGAAGCTTTATTCTTTGAGCTGGATAGTTTTGTTGTAGAGTTTTTGTTGTTCCTCTGAACAATATCATCAACACATACTTCAGGTAGAAATATCAAACATTACCAAGCGAAAATTGGATTAACTTCAAATTCATTCACTGAGATTTTACAAATACATTCTTCCTCTTACATGTCTTACATCTACTCAACGTCCAAATACTGTGAATATATTCGATTAAATTTAGACGAATCTCCTTATTACAAATACCAAAGGGTAAAGTATTTCTAACTATAGTTGTGTAGATAATATATGTTATTCAAATAAATCAATGTAAGACTACCAAATGAGAAATTAAGTGATCAAAACAACTTAAAATAATTCGAATATTTTTTAAAATTAAATAACTAACTAACCTCAAATGTTAATTGTCCTGTTTGACATTGATCAAAAACTCGAAAGCATAATTGAGCATAAGCACTAGATGCTGAAATCAAAGAAAGAATATATGTATCAACGTCATCAATAGACTCTATAAAAGTTAATATGAATTTTGATAGTTACTTCTTTCATCCATTACTGACTAATGATGTATTAGAGATATATGCTACTTATTCTGACAGATATAAGTAGTATTGTGGTGTGTGCTACTGATGTCGACAGATATAAGTAGTATATATCATCAATCGAGAGTGAAATGTCTGGCAGTAGAAGGTTAAGAAGACCAGAAAAAAGAGAAAGAGAATAAAGAATAAGTAGTATGTGCTCACAATCGGAAGTGCAGTGCCTACAAACAAAATATTGATTTAAAGAGAATAGGAAGGGATACAGGTAGCAGTTGAAATGGCAACAGAATCAGAAGAATGATAGAGTAATTGAAGGGCAAATGGAGAAAGATATGCAAATAATATATTTAATATACGTTTTTTTCATATTTTATCAAACCACTGTGTATTTCGCACGAAGCTATAGATTAGTTTTCCCTATCTGAGTTCTCATTCACTATATATTTACACTTGTGATCAAATATTCTTATTTACTTACAGCTACAAGCTTCCTTTTTCTAATGAAATTTGGTAGACCTCGTAGTTTTCTTAATTTTGAAGTGTTCGCGCTTTGCTAAGCAGTTGGAACTATTCAAGAGGTAACTCGGAACCTAAGTTTCGTGGTACTTGTTGATCACCAGCAGAACGTGCCTGAATCAGCTGAGGAACGTTTGCTACCTGTTGGTTTCTGAATTCACATCATTCAGCTTTACAATCTGAGACCCTATCACTTTCATTGTAACTGAAAAATAATAATAATTCGATCTATTTATTTGAAATAGTTGCATAATAAACAATGTTGCCAATCGAGTTTACTACCATGGTAAATCAAAGAAACTTTCGTAGCCTTAATGTTTGTGTGAATAGAGATTTAATGAAGTATCCCGTTTAGCATGTGTTTCATAAGCGTTTCAATGACATTATTGCTAAATATCTTTAATATATTGTTTTAAAATCAACGTAAAAATGAATCACTCGAATATCGGATGGATCATCTTAGTGTAACCTCAAAAGCTATAATGACTTAAAACTAGTTGTTTTAAAATATTCATTTTACTTGTGGGAATGAACAGATATTGAAATAGAAAAAAACTCCTTGATTTCTTAGTAAAAAATTAGTTACATTGAATTCATGAACCAATCAATTTTACACCACTATTGAAAACCTGAAAGCACTGGACGGCCGATTCGTTCTGGTATGGGACTCCTCATCACCATCCATCCATAATCTTCCACGCAGGATTCGAACACAGGACATTAGATCTCGCATGCGAACACTTAACCTCTAGACCACTGATCTGGCATCTAACGGTGTTAATATGCTAAATCCAATCAATCCACGACGCCTTACAACTAGCTTCCATGATTTCAATGAAATTTAACCATCTCCATAACCTCAAAATGAAAAATTAATTTAATTTCTACTATTCTTAAATCAAAATATATCGGCTTTAATGTTTATCATCCCATTGGTTCATGTTCAGTTTCTACAATATATGGAGCGAGCACCTGATTTTTCAGTATTTTTTGTGCAAGTAATTTTTGAATTCTAATGGTCTCTCATTTGTATACCATGACCCGTCATTATTTTAAAAGAACGTCATGATGTTTTGCAACCACAGAGGTTATAGAATAGATCACTCATGATTGATCAACAGTTTTATTAATTCAGTTCCCTTGATCACAATATACCACATCTAGTACTAGTAAGGTATACATTTTTTCCAGGTTGAGACAAGGAAACTTCACCCGTAAAATAAATTTGAAACTGAAATAAAAATATGTTTTACATGAGGTTCAACTAACTTACTAAGTGATTAAAACTGTAATGTATGCTACTTATATCTGTCAACAGACATAACTAGTACGTAACATCAATCAAAAGTTAAATGACTAGTAGCACAAGGCTAAGAAGATCGAATTGAAGAAAGCAGAAAGGGGAATAGAAAAGAATTGTGAATTGAAACAATTAAACGGAATGTAAAGGACAGTTGATGGAAGATTTGCAAATGAAGCATTTATTATATGGTTTCCACATTTTATGATTAGCGTTTTTTTACGAGTTAGTTTTCCACGCGGTCGTGCACAGACCGAATTGCGACACTACGGATCATCGTCGAACAGTCATTTGAGTGAAACTCGTCACTATACATCAACTTCATTGATTATGAAAAGCATTTGACAATGTGGAAAGGAGGACGTTTGGGAAACTTCTTCGACACTACGGAATTCCTGAGAAGATTGCCAATATTATCCGGAACTCATACGGCGGACTACAGTGCAAGGTTGTGCATGGAGGACAGCTGACAGATGCATTCCAAGTAACGACCGGAGTCAGACAAGGCTGTCTACTCTCTCCCTTTCTCTTTCTTCTGATGGTCGACTGGATTATGAAGACCTCGACATCTGAGGGAAAACACGGAATACAATGGACAGCTCAGAATCAATTAGACGATTTGGACTTCGCAAATGACCTAGCCCTTCTATCGCATACACACGAACAGATGCAGATGAAGACAGCCAGTGTAGCAGCAGTCTCTGCATCAGTAGGCCTCAGCATACACAAAGGGAAAACTAAGGTCCTCAAATTCAAAGCGGAGAACAGCAATCCAATCACTCTTGATGGCGAAACTCTGGAAGATATATAATCACTCACATACCTGGGAAGCATGATCGATGAACAAGGAGGTTCAGATGCGGACGTAAAGGTGAGGATTGGCAAAGCAATGGCCGCATTCCTACAATGGAAGAACATATGGAACTCAAAACAACTTTCAACCAATATGAAAGTCAGAATCTTCATTGCGAATGTCAAGGCATTCCTACTGTATGAAGCTGAAACTTGGAGAACTACAACAACCATCACCAAGAAGGTGCAAGTATTCATAAATTGTTGTCTGCGCAAGATACTCAACATCCATTGGCCGGATACCATCAGCAACAGCCTTTTGTGGGAGAGAACTAGCCAGCTTCGAGCTGAAGAGGAAATTAGGAAAAGACGATGGAAATGGATAGGACATACATTACGCAAATCGTCAAACTGCATCACGAGGCAAGCCCTAACTTGGAATCTTGAAGGTAAGCGTAAAGGTGGAAGGCCAAAGAACACATTACATCGGGAGATAGAGGCAGATATGAAAAGGATGAATAACAACTGGAAGGAGCTGGAAAGGATTGCCCAGTACATGGTTGGATGGAGAATGCTGGTGATCGGCCTATGCTCCTTCACGAGGAGTAACAGGTGTAAGTAAGTTTTCCACGGGATATTTTCGTTAACCCATGCCCAACCCTCTTTCTGTACCCGGGTTAGAGACTGGCAGTAGCTCCAGAGGAGCTCCAGGCGGAAGAAGCGCTAGAAATGGATAGGACACACATTGAAGAAAGCATCCAACTCCATTGTAAGACATCATCTCATGGAATCCTCAAGGTCAAAGAGGAAGAAGAAGACCAAAGAACACATGACGCCAAGAAATCGAGACAAACATGAGAAGAATGAACAACAATTGAATAGAATTAGAGAGGAAGGTCCTGGACAGAGTGAATTGGAGAATGCTGGTCGGTGACCTATTCTCCATTGGGATTAACAGGCGTAAGTAAGTAAGTAAATAAGTTCTACATTTTATGAAGATATTCTATAGTTTTGTACTAAATAGTAAATTCATTATCCCCAACTGTGTTCTCATTCACCATAAAACTAGTACATATATGTAATATATAGTATGATTATGTTCAAACATATCAAATAGGTTATTATGACATTGAAATGTACATATTGTTAACTGTCATGTACAATCTTAGGGTGGTTTTTTTTAGAAAAAAATTTTCAAACCGTTCAAATTAAAACGTGTCAATAGTTTTTTCAAACAATTTTTTCTAGAAGTTTTACGAAGGTTTTAATTAGATATTTAAAAAGAAAAAGACAAACTACATGGTATTTTAAAAAGGTATTTGAACATAAAAAGGTGAATAAGTAAAATGGTTTTAAATATCACTATATGAAAAGAAGTTCTAGAGAGACTATAATTTATGGACGAGCCAATCAGAAGGGTTTAAGGGATTTCAAGGTCATAGGGTCGACTTCAGTACTTGATGCTAATGTACGATCGGTTCATAGGGAATTTTGTACAAAACGTGATAATTGAGAGGCTATAACAAATAAAACGGCTGACGAAGCAATCGGAGATAAGGTAATAGATCTTGGTTTTTGGCGCGAAAGTATTTCATTCATTTAGCCAAATAGAGTATAGCTGATGTCAGTTCGTGATGAAAAACCTATATGTGATTCATAACTAAGGCAAATTATGACAATTATTGCGAAATGGATAATAAAAGTACCAGTAACACTAGCTGCAGCCAGGTACTACAAATATATACGGATGTTTGGAGAGCCTACAGACTCCTAAATAGGCTTGGTTATGTGCATCGTGTCATTATCCACAAGTGGCATTTTGTTTACTCAACAACGGGAATACACACAAACAATAATGAAGGTATGTGGTCGAGGCTGGAAAAGTTTTTTCGACTTCATCATGCCTCCAGAGGCCAACTATTCTGTTACAATAAGGATGATTTCCTCTACTGCATGCAATACGATTTTAGAACCTCTGAACTTCTTTCTAACCTTGACAAGTTTTTGAACCATGTATAAGAAGTGTATCCACTTTATTTTTTTTGGTTTTGTATAATATCTATTTACTCTATATTGACTGTTTGCTGATTAGCCAATATTCCTCAAGGTCACTCAAGATTTTGTTCAAAGATCGTCCATAACTTATAGTCGCGGCCGAATCTTGTTGGGAACAATAGTTTCCTAAATATTCCGGATAAACATAGCTAATAAACACCAACCATCACAAAACCTAAATACATGTTTTTCGAATTATTACATCCAACTATCTAACATATTAATCAATGGACAAAGCAGAATTCAAAGTTCTTTAAAACAAGCGAATATACTTTGAGTATATTCTATAATTTTATTCAACTACTAGAAATAAGGTAATTGCATCAAGAACAATATATTTGTACATTTTGTACATAGGAAACAGTTTCAGTCAAAAACACCCACTTTCATTGACTTGAATCACTAAAGGTTTAGGTTATTATGTCAAAAGAATAGTGAACTATGATTTTATATAGTTTGTACAATAAATGAGCAAATTCGACTGAAATTGTATTTATTTGTCTAAACACATAAACATGGTATAAGGAGGCACCATATAGGTATGTGCCATATAAATCATTCGATTTGTGTGAGGGCTAGGATACTGTCTGGGTGGCAAAACTGAAGCAGCTTGTTTTATTAGGTGGCCACACCCCGAACCTTTGACCTAAAGATCTAATTCCCAATGTAAGGAGATGCAGGTCCATGGTAGCCAGTAACCAATGATTGGTCCATACATCATTTGTTCTTTCAGGATACTGGAGCCCATGTGCACTATTGATTTGGAATCAGGGTTTTCCAACTCCTCTATTTGAAATCTCCGTGTCCACCACCCGATTTTCACTTTCCGTCCTCTCGATGTCGTAACAAAGCACCTACTGCCACGAGAAGGCAATGAGTTGAACTTCCCTGTCAGTGGCTGTAGACGCGTGGCCATTTGAGAGCATTTCGAGAAGAAGAGCTGATTCTCCTCACTCTCAGTCGTACCAGGGCAATCGTGGGCAGTTATCATTGTCCATATCATCCAGTCATCAAATTGATGGCCTTTCCTTCCTACTAGATGTAACTTTTTTATAATTTTGCCAAAAATAAAATGAAAATAATCATATGCCCACAATTAGTGAATATATATTACACAGGTTATGCATAACTTCTATATAAATATTAACCAGTAATATAATATTATATAAACATACCACGATTAGGAAAAAATCTTCTATATACTCCTATGAAAGATTCTTTACTGGCAACACCTGAAGGACAAATCTGTAGAACAATGGAAAGTGAAAAATACAAAAATAATTATTCTTCCATATAAGAGTACTTTTATAATATATAAACAAACTGTTTACAATCATTCACAGACTGAATGTGTTTATCAATAGGGTTATACATCATAAAAGGTCTTCTTCACGTCAATAATACTGTTTTCTATATATACATATATGGCTTAAGTGGGCACATTTGTTTCCCATTTGCATATACCATAAAGATTTTAATGTTTTCCTTTCAATTAAAATGAAACGAGTATGTTTATTGTTTTCTATTTAAATGTTTTAAACTTAAAAAGGATTTCAATGGTTGAGATCATGAGTCAGTTGAAGCTAAACCATCATGGAAAACCTGGAGGCACTGGACGACCGATTCATTCTATTGTGCTTCTAGGTTTTCCATGGTGGTCTGGCTTCAACTGACTCATGATCTCAACCATCAAAATTACTATAGTATTGACAAAACCCCTTTCTGATATTAAAAAGGATTATTTAAATGTACTTTTGTGTATTAATTTTATTTTAATAAATTTAAATTAATATTCATCATACTACTAAATGATAAATAAACAGAGGATACTTTGTTCATGGTTTTATCTTAAACATGACATAAAGGATAAGTCATGCTGATACTTGTGTAATGAATGAGAATACAAGTGAGGACAATCGAATATATCTGAATATAAAATTACAGAATCTCTGTGAACTATACAGTAAATAATTCATTTGCAAAATGTCATTTAATCGTCTCAGATTTGATTGTTCCTTCATTTTCACACCAATCATTCTTTGTTCTCGTTCTCTTTTCTTTAATCTTCCTAATCTTCTGCTGCCAAGTATTTCACTTTCGATTGACGATATATACTACTTATATCTATCGATATTAGTAGCACACATACCACAATTGAATTGTTATGAACGAAGTAATTTTGCATTTAATGTATTCTAATTGTTTGGTTAGTTAATTGACTAAAGATGGTATAATCAATAAAGTATTTTCCGAACAAATGCATAAAATCGATTTTGAGGATGAAGAATAAAATCTCAAGTTTAAACATCTTTAATGATTAATCAAGCTTAACTTGTACATTCTGAATTATCGGTTGTTCAATTAAATCACAGACTGTTTGTTTTAAGAATACTAGTGAATTCACCTATTTGATGTCGGAAAATTTTTAGTCAGTTTCGCTGAAAGCGATGAAGAACCGTAGAAGATTAATTTCCAGTCCTTGCTAATTTGTATTTTGAGTGTTCTTCATAATATCGATTGATTTTCTGTTGAAGATATCTAGTTGTTTGTATGTACACATAATCTTACTTAGATGATGCTGTAAATAGATCATAATAAAATCTATAATAATAGTAAGCAGATGATATTATACTATTATAACTCCGCCTGGAGTCCCTCCGGGAGCTACTGCCGGTCCCAAGCCCGGGTAAAGGAGGAGGGTTGGGCATAGGGTTACCGACCCCATCCCGTAGAAAACTAACTCGCTAAAAAACACTAATCAGAAAAAATTATTCAAACCTTTTAAACTCTGACCTGGAAGTCAGAAGGTCTTCATGTAGAAGACTTATGACGTCTCATGATGAAAGCCGAATTCCTTCGGAAGTCACGAGTCTGATGCCCCTTCTGACAACCACAGCAACCATTTATTTAGGTATATGGAATACTCTGGTCGGCGGCCTATGCTCCATTAGGAGTAACAGGCGTAAGCAAGTAAGTAATTATCCTATTATATAATATTTTTTGTTAGCGTTTTTTTAGCGAGTTAGTTTTCTTTGGGTTGGGGTCTCTAACCCTATGCTCAATCATCCTTCTATATCCAGGTCTGGGACGGGCAGCAACTCCAAAGGGGCTCCGGGTGGAGGTTCTTGTTATATAAGTTAAATTGTAATTCTCAAGTGTTGGGAAAACATTGTTAACTTCAAGACTAAATTTTTGAGCTAATCATAATGGATCAGTATAAATCATGTAGGATGTCAGATAATTCGAAATGATCTGATCCATGTATTATCAAAGTGTATCTGGTTTTTCAAGAAGACAATTTATGAAACTCTGAAAATTCAATAGAATCGTTGAAATGAAATATTATTATAAGAAACAGTGATTCTTTCAAAGAAAATTCTTTTGGAAATTAGACATCTGTAATACAGCTTATTGTATAAATTTTCTGCAATTAGTTCCTTTTATAAATTTAGATAAACCCAGAACAAACACCCCCTCCTTCATATGGAATCCTCAAAAGGAAGACCAAAGAACAAATTACGCCGAGAAATGGAGACAGACATGAGAAGAGTGAAGAAAAATTGGACAAATCTGGAAAGGAAGGCCCACGGCAGAGTGTGTTGGTGAATGCTAGTCAACAGCCTATGTTCCACTGGGGTAGGGTAACAGGCGTAACTAAATAAGTAAGCAAGTAAGTAACAAAAGTAAAACGATCAGTTTAAACTGAAAGTATTTATACTCACATGTTTAAATCCTTGATATAATAATTGTAATTCTTTTCGTGTAAAATTCGTCATCATTTCTAATTTATGTAATGAAATTGGTTTAGTTTGTAAATCTAAACTTTTTAAATCATACGATGTTAAATCTAATAGATCAAAAGAAATAAGAAAACAAAAATTTAAACAAACATTGGAAAAATGTAAATGAGTAATGTTGTTGTTGTTGTAGTTAATGACACGTTCCTTAATGTCTGTTTGTTGAACTAGTTTGAAAGTCATTTTCAGTTATAAAGGCTTTATTTGTGTAGGGGTGTTTTGGTGATTATTCAGTTTTTAATGAACATTATGAACCGATTCAAAATTAGACAACCAGTAAAAGTTAGAAAATATTAAAGAGTTGTTTTGTTCTTGTATGAGATTCCATATTAGTCTTCATCCAAGACCTCTTTAGGAACTAATAACGTATAATTTTAATAGTTGAGATCATGAATTAATTGAAGCTAGACCATCATGGAAAACCTGGAAACAATGGACGGCCGTTTCGTCCCAGTGTGGGACTCGTCATCACTGTGCATCCACAATCCCGCCTCATGAGATTCGAATCAAGGACCTATGAGTCTGGCGCGCGTGAGCCTAAAATCTAGACGACTGAGCCGGTATCCAAAGATGTCTAACTTCAACTAATCCACGAAATTGATCGACACATCCACCATTGTCATCAGTGAGTTACTATCTCACAACAGACCTGGTTGAAATCCAATGGTCACTAGGGCTCCAGGAAATACTTCTTGAAACCAGTCACTAGTGAGCAGATGATTATTATTAGAAGGGGTTTTGCGGAGATTTCAATAATTTCAATAGTTGAAATCATGAGTCAATTATATATATATATATCCAAATTAATAATCCATAAAATTGGCCAGGTTAAGGGTGAAGTACATCGTTTAAAGCATGTGAACTGTAGGATTGTCAAGCAAAATATAATGAAATTGTTAATGTTAATATGACTCACATGGAATGTTAACTTGAATCTGCATATATGTTGGGTGAAATTGTAGATCCATGATCGAATTAAATATGGATCAGATATGGTGAGAGGAATAATAGTGCAATTACAATTCGATCAAATGTTTAGTGGAGAAATTATTAAGGTGTACTAAGAAAGGGTGAATGCGAAGTGAATGAGTCATGTATTGGGGAAATTAATAATGATGTTTAACCAATAATAATAATCATAATAATACAAAGATTTGTGAATAAAGATAACAGATAATTGTCTACGAAAGGTCGTAAGTACAGTAGTCAAATTAGGTCACTTAATAGCTAAGATTACTATTGATTAATTGTCCTTGAGGTTGGCCAGTGTGGGAGGATTGGTAGAAGATATTTATTCTATACGCATAGCTCCGGTTTCTTCATCCTGATGGCGAGGTTGTGGATGCACAGTGTTGACGAGTCCCACACTGGGACGAAACGGCCGTCTAGTATTTCCAGGTTTTCCATGATGGTCTAGCTTCAATTAATTCATGATCTCAACTATATATATATATATATATATATATATATATATATATATATATATATATATATATATATATATAATTGTAGAATCTGAAGAGAATTTATCGAAAAGAATATTCTTCATTGATAAATTAGTCTCTTATACTACTTGAAAAAAAGTATTTTCCTATTAACTTTTTTACCAACAAATATACTACTTATAGACATAAATTCATTTGACACGTCTATTGTCTACATATTTAATTAAATGGCATGGGAAATCTCATGGGAAAATTATATTCATAGGGAGAAAAAAGTACTAATTTAATGAAATTTCATAAATTTCATAAATAGAAGCATTTCACTTTCATTCAATTGTGAGTTATGAAATTGGTACTGTAACTAAATTTCACTTTCTTCTTACATAGATATACAATAAAATACAAAGTTATTTGAGATGGTTAACAAATAACACAACATGACTTAGTACAACGGACCAACACATGAATATTATATACGATCAATGAAAAGATCAGGTCTCAACAAATCAATAGTATGTCATTTCGGTTATGGTGATTAGTAAGCGACATTTATGTAAAGTTTTGTGTGTGTGTGTGCGTGTGCACGGTGTTGTTGTTCTTTTGGACTATTTAAACTGGGATTAATGTTGATTTGGTTATTTATTCTCTGAAGAAGTCGATTACATTGAATTACGAAATATCTGAAAATCTAAATTTTCTACTCATTCGAATATTAAAAATATATTAATTTACTTTACATATAACAAACTACCTAGTGCTCAACTTAATCGAAATTATTAAGTCAAACCTTGGTAATGATACCTACCAACTTCATTTATTTATAAGGGTGTTTTTCTCTTTCAAAAAAAATACTTTCGTGTTTTTTTATTTTGAGGATTGCAACTGATCAGTCTCTCTTGACATGGATGTATCCTGAAACAACTGCTTTGATATTGCCACTTAATTACTAGTTTTTATCTAAGTTGGATAAAATAGAGGAATTGTGGATGTGTGTTTTGTTCCGTCTTAAAGTTATCAGGTGGATAGAGTTGTATACAATTGTTAATGTTAAAACTGAAAATTCAACTCAATACTTTTCACCTTTCAACGGAAAAATGCAAAACATTACAAGTAAATTAGGCGAGACTATAATTTATGGATGAACTAATCAGATTTAGAATAACAGGTCTCGGATCTTGACGCGAAATTCATTCACCTAATTGTCTATATGGCGTCGTGGCATTTTAGCTGATATCACCTCATGATGAAAACAATAAATCTAATTCCTAACCATGACCATCAACTGTAAGTCATAACCCTTACTATTCATACCGCTTTACAATCATTATTTAGCCCTAGTAAGTAGGTGGACATTCCCAAGGTCACTTTAACATCGCTCAATGGTCGTCTATAAATTATAATCTCACCGTAAAGTAAAATTCCATACCGTTACACAAACTAATAGTCATGTGAACTCAGTAGCTCATTAGGAAACTAGTTTAACGTTCGGAGTGATAGATTAAGGTTAGACTTTTATTGTAAACAAAAACAGTGAAATGTAGGTACATCCAATTGACAGTCATAAATAGGACAAAACTTTTGTCCTGGACTTCACTACTAGTTTCTATTCAAATGTCATAAAAGAAGTAATATTAAGTTCATTAAATGTAATTACAACTTAAAATGATTTCTTATTGACACAACAAATTATCAAATTTGTTTAATTGAATATAAAGTGGTTTTGCTTCGTTCATTGATCACCTTCATAACCGTTATAATATGAATCTCAACGGTGTTTAAAATGAGCACGCAATGAGAAGCAGTGTATAACATAAATCACAAATCTATAAGCACATCAAACGAATTTGAATAGGAGAGACGAACATGTATAGGCAAATTTGTAGTCGAATTACATAAGAGCTCAACAAGGCAAAACAAAGACTAATAATAGGATTTGAGTGCATACATACATTGGGGGAGAGAATGAAGGATCGAGTGATATTTAAGCGATCAACATTTTAACTAGAGTCTATCGTGTACTCTAGTGATCATAACGGAACAAAGAAATAGACGAATTGTTACTATTCAAATAACATTATTTGCTAGGTAAGTTCATAAAAGGCCTTAACCAACATGTAACCATAATCGAAATTGGTTATAAGATAGTTGCTATAAACAGTCCCTAGTTTTGTTTTTTTCTTTTTTTTCTATATTAATTATATCATCGCAATGAATTTTATTTTAAAAATATAGTTTTCCCTATTTAGTAATAATTTAGGCATATCCCAAATGAAAAAAAAAACGATATCCTCCCTGACAACTATTGGTTTCAGCTGACCTAAATCAAAACGATTTTCTTTTTTCTTCTTAAATAACTACTGACATAAACTAACATTGACAATATGAACTAGAATAATAAGTGAAATATAAAATAGAATTCATTATTCAATCGTTAATAATTCAACCAACAACAAAAAACTGATCAATACAACCTACTTGAATGGTTTCTTGTTATAGAAAATATCAAAATAGTGTAAGAAAGTTAGGAATAAATATATTGACTCATGTATTCAACCAGTAAAATTTCTAAAAAATCTCCACAAAACCCATTCTGATAATAATAATCACCTGCTCACTAATGACGGTCTTCAAAAGGTATTTCCTGGAGTTCTAATGAGAAGTCGTGAGCAGTGGAGTTCAATCGGGTTTGTTGTGAGATAGTAACTCACTGATGACAATGGTCGATGGTGACTCAACTTCGTGGATTGGTTGAAATTAGACATTAACACCTTTGGATACCGACTCAGTAGTCTAGATTTTAAACGCATGCGCACCAGACTCATAGGTCCTTGATTCGAACCTCGTGAGGTGGGATTGTGGTTGCGCAATGATGACGAGTCCCACAATAGGACGGAACGGCCGTCCATTGTTTCCAGGTTTTCCACGGTGATCTAGCTTCAAATGACTCATAATCTCAACCAGTGAAATAAATATATTGTAAAGTATAATGTTTCACTATTAAAACTGATATAGTATTACTGACGAACTATTTCTATATTAAATAGTTAATTGAAGAAAGTACTCAGGGTTAACATATAAAACAGTCCGTCCGCCCGTCAGCCAGCTACAACGTAGGATCAGGCTCATTTGTGCATTGGTCTAAGTTGCCATACCTCATTAGCACAACAAGATCAACACCAAATTTATAGAAATAGTTAATTCAATGGTGGTAATATATAAAAGAAACATTGCGTATAAGGACATAGAACAGGAAGTATGAATTAGTTCGTAGAAAGAAATATATACAGCAATTTTAATCTCACGGTTTAAGGAAAGAAAAAGAGTGCACACACCTACGCTATTGTGATAGATTCTGAGACATGTCACACAGAATCTCCAAACATTGGTTACTATAGTCACGCGGACCCCAACCAAGTAGTCTGCATCTACCAACATGACTCAGACTAGAAGTTAGTGACTTCAAGGACTGATGACAAGTTTAGATTTGGCCCTTCCTCACTTTCTTTAACTGTATCCAACACTAGTCAGCATTGCGCGTCGTGGTAATCGGTGTTCAGGCATACGTAACACGTGACCCAACCATCTCAGTCGATGAAGATTTACAA